AATCTTTTAAAAAAAAAAAAGAAAAAGAGTTCTGGCTCTGGATTGAATCCCAACTCTGCCAGGTTCTCTGTGTGGGATCTTGGGCAAGCTTTTTTCACCTTTAAAATAGGGAAATAATAGTATTAACTCATGGAATTGTTGTGAAGATAAATTATATAGTGCATGCATAGTGATTAGTTTTATAACTGGCATATAGGAAGCATTCAATATATTTTAGTTACTGTTTGTTACTGTTACCATTATGATTTTGTTTGTTCATTTAGCAAACATTATTAAGTACTCTCATGGGCCAACGACTCTGCTAGGAAGGCAGAGATGAATGAAAGAATCATGCTGCTCACCAAGAGTATGTAGTCTGGTAGGGAAGACAGACCTGTAATCAAATCATTGCAGTATAATTCGATGAGCATGAGAAGCATCAAGATACAGGCATGAGAGGCAGTAGTAATTAACTGCCTTGGAAGTCAGGCAAGAGAGGCTCAGAGAAGAGCTGGTGTTGGAGCTGGTTTTTAGGATGAGTTGGAATCATCACAGAGGGAATGGGCAGAGGCATCCTAAGCTGAGGAAATAGCGTTTGTAGAGACATGGAGGGCGTGAGACCACATGAAATCCTGGGGAATTGCAAGTTCTTTTATGTTGCTGGACCTTATGTTTGAGAGCCAGGGAATGGGAGAAAAGGGGATTCTGCAGACATGTTAAGGAGCATGAACCTAATCCTGGGGTCTGTAAAAAAATTAACCCTGATTACTGTGGAGAATACATTGGAAGAAAAAGAGACTGGGGGCTAGTTAAGCTTTTTTATGAGTCCAGGGTAAGAGATGTTAATATTAGAATCTCAACTGAGGCCGTGGCACCAGAGATCAAAGAAGCAGATTCAGGAAGATAGTTTAGAGGGAGAATTATGAGAAATTTAGATAATTGATGAACAGGTAGAAGGGTAAGAGCTGGGTGAGTAAAGGATAATTCTCAGGTTTCTTACTTGGGTGAATAGGTAGATTCTTAACTGAGAGAGAATATAGGAAGAAGAGAAGTTCAGTTTTTAAAAGTTGAGTTTGTGGGGCGCCTGGGTGGCTCAGTCTGTTAAGCATCAGCCTTCAGCTCAGGTCCTGACTCAGATCCTGGGATTGAGCCCCGCGTCAGGCACCCTGCTCAGCAGGGTGTCTGCTTTTCCCTCTCCCTCTGCTTCTCCCCTTCTCTCTGCTTCTCCCCCTGCTCGTGCTCTCTCTGTCTCTCTCTCTAATAAATAAATGAAATCTTTTTTAAAAATTAAAAAAAATAAAATGTTGAGTTTGGAGAATCAAGAAGAATTATTTTTTGGGAGCTTAGCCTAGAACTCACAAGAAAGGTTCAGATGTGGCCCATTGGTAGCACATAAGAGTCAGTGGGAATAGAAGTTGTTATCGAGTGTGTATTCCTGCTGCTCCACCCCAGACTTTAATTCAATAGGTTGTAGGATAGAGTCCGTGAATCTGCATTTGGGGAATACCATTTCCAACCCATATAAGTAGTTGTTAAAACCATGCTCTTGGATGATATAATTCAAGTTGGAGGCTGAGAACAGAACTCTAGAAGCACTCAAGAAAGATAGAGTGAGTATTTGTAAACCATGTATCTGATAAGGGGTTAATATAAAAAAAATATGAAGAATTCATACAATTCAATACTAAAAAAAAAAATCCAATTTAAAAGTGGGCAAAGGACCTGAATAGGCATTTTTCCAAAGAAGACATACAAATGGCCAGTAGATACATGCAAAGATGCTAAACATCACTAATTGTCAGGGAAATGCACATCAAAACCACAATGAGATATTACCTCACATCTTTTAGATGGCCATTATCAAAAAGACAAGAGGGGTACCTGGCTGGCTCAGTCGGTGGAGCATGTGACTCTTGATCTCAGGGCTGTGCGTTCGAGCTCCACTTTGGGTGTAGAGATTACTTTAAAAAAAGAGAGAGAGGAAAAGACAAGTAACAAATGTTGGTGAGGTTATGGAGAAAAGGGAACCCTATACACCGTTAGTGGGAATGTAAATTGGTATAGCCATTGTGCAAAACAGTATGGTGGTTCCTCAAAAAATTAAAAACAGAACTACCATATGATCCAGTGGTCATTCCTGGGTATATATCCAAAGAAAATGAAATCGGTTATCTTGAAGAGATTATCTGTACTCCCATGTGCATTGCAGCTTTATTCATAATAGCCAAGAGATGGAAACAATGTAAATGATTTGCAATGAATGGATAAAGAAAATGTGATATATATACATACACACAGGCATATTCTATGGTATCACTTCTATGTGGAACCTTTTTAAAAAGCCAATTTCAGGGGTGTCTGGGTGGCTCAGTCGTTAAGTGTCTGCCTTTGGCTCAGGTCATGATCCTGGGGTCCTGGGATCAAGCCCC